TTCATATATGTGTCGGTTGTTTGTCGTTCTCCTCATCACATTATCGGACGGCGCGTATTCAGGGAGCAACTAGCCGCAATAGGACTTCGTTGTATCGATGTCGTTTTTGTTCCAGCAGAAAACGCATTGTGTATAATTGGATTGTTGAACATCGGATTGTTGTCCGTGCTGGTTACAATTCTCTCTCTTCATCACCGTGTGATTCTTGCCTGTAGCGCGAGACCTATGTGCTCGAATTTCACTTCAAACTGCTTCAAATTTATAGTGGAGCCGTCGATGTAAAGGAAATGCGATAAGATTGTTGGTCACATGCCCTTGCATTGAGACCGTTTTGGACCCAGTTGATATTGGTTTCGTCGAATTTCAAACCGTTCTTGGTCGTGGTTAATAAAAACAATCGAAAATACTGTAACTGAAAGCCGAGTTGATATAATTCGATGCTTTCTATCCAGATGGAAAAATCCAACTGGTCCATAAGTGAGCCAACACACTAACCCAGAGGCTTATCCTTCCGTGACTTCTTCAGAAAACATTGTCAAAACGGTTAATGGTACTTTTCTTTATGTAGGTGTTTCTTCGATCATTCCGAACGTAGGTATTTCAGAATCGCATTGACTTCAAAAGATACGTGGTCAAAATAATTTTGCCCGTTAACTTTGCGCAGACATATCTGATCTCTTAGTGAATTTTATTAACTATAATAAAAGATGGAGGAATCTACAAATGGCCTAGAAACGACAAGCCAATGAATTTTATGGCGATCGTGAAGTTCTGTTAATTTTATGGAACCTACGAAGAATCGTTCTCATCGCATGTGTGTAGGCCGTGCTAAATAGAATTTGCATTGGACTTTCTTGTTCGTCTTTCATTTCGCTCACAAGATTTTCTTTCGTTGTCGTCGATGTCATGGTTATCCTGTCAAGGATGGAAGCTGTGAACACCTAGATCCTTAGGGATACTCAGCGCTCTGTTCTGTCTCATTCGCCTAAACGTCGAATTTTCCGTGGAATTCTATTATCCACTGATTCTCATTTTCGCTAAATTATCTGAATTCGCTTGCCTTCTTTTTTACTCTAATTGAATATTTGAGATGTGCAGTTTTATTTCCCCTTGCTGGGAATGAGAGTTTTCTTACAACTCTAGCCACTCGCTCCGTAGACCGTCATTTACTTCAATATTAATGTTGACTACTTTAATATTGTCTGTCTAAATTAAATTTCTTCTATCCTTTCCTATGTTTTTATTTACGAAACGTATTTGCTTATGATTACTGAAATTTAAACTTATTTATTAAATTTTTGCGTTATTACATATTCGGCTAATTGAGTAACAACTTTGAAATTATTCTACGTCTAGCCTTCAAAACGCCTCTAAAATACTGCGCTTCTGTTGGTACATGTAGTAGAATCAAATTTAAGAACGCTTATAGGAATGTGTATAGGGATGTGTGTGTATGTGTGTGTGTCGGCGTGTGTGTGTGTGTGTGTGTTGCATCATAGATCATTCCCCCAGGTGACGAGTTCCATTACAACCGAGTTGGGCGTCGTTACAATCGATTACAACTTGGGTGTGATCAGCTGTAACTGATATCTTCATCGTTTCCTGTCACCACAATGAACGCACACGTTTCATTCCTCTCATATCTTCTTCACCATTAAAATTTTGAACATTTAGTTACTCATCATCTTTTAATACTAAGGGCGCACAGAGTAGTGGTGAAAGGCGCGCTACAATACACATGGGATCGTTTCACGCGCCTCAGGCTCACGAAACCTTCCATCCCTCCGAAGTCGAAAAATTGGTACCAGACCTATTCGGGAAAATAGTAGCACTGGTTAGATATATCGGCAGCCCACCGGAGTCACTGTGTAGCCCAGATATTGCATTCAATCACTTCCTCGATGGAACTAGATTCATGGAACTCGAATACATTGGGCATTCTCAGGGATTGATCAACACCAAGAGCTTTATGCTTTATCCTTTATACTTTATTTCCTACTTGCCGTTCTGGATGAATTTATAGCGTCTTATAGATTTTTCCCTTATCTCCCATCTGTAGCTATTTCTGCAAGTGTCGTGTCTCGTTCCAAAATTTCTATGAAAACCCACTTTAGATCCTTAACAGTATTATCCAAAAGGGGAACGAACAATCCAATTACCTCAAAATAGCATAACAGAAGCATGTAACTTTTCATTTACTATTTATTATTTTTTCATGGCAGCATATTATGTGGAATACAGCCACAGTGATGCTCATTGATTATATCATGATCATTTCGGTTGTATAACCAGTTTTTTTCGTTGTCTTTTCCTATGTTATACTCTTTTTCTTTGTTTTGCTTTTGCGCCCTTCACGTCCCCGATCTAACAATATCCAACGCCACGTAGGCCTGTTAAGTTAAATTCAAAAAAGAAGGGAAAATTTAAATGTTCCTGAATCAGTCATGAAGATCCGTTAGAACTCTTTATCTCCAACAGTGCAAAGAATGCTCATCAATTGAGGGTCGGGCTTTAATTTGTCACTTTATAAGCGCCAATTTGAGATTCCAGCGATAGAGATGAATTTTTTCTTATGCTGTGCACTTCACAATAAAGAACTCAGCTTTACTGTTTTGTCAAATGCCGAAATTTCAAATTCTAATTGTATACCTTTGAAGTTTTGTTTGAAGCGAACAGTTAACAATATTGTGACGAAAATCAAAAAGTTTTTCTCACTTAGCCAGCAGTTAAAAATTTTTCATTTTTTTGCATGACCCGTCAGCACATATACGGTGCAGGTCCCAGTTCTTCTTGCATCTTCAATTCGTTTTCCTCGCATTTACCGTCCACAAAGGTCCTCGAATATTTCGCGCGTGTGTTGGGCTTCTGCTTGAGAATTTCGTCTTCTTTTTGAATGTCGTGAAGTGCTGGTCGAGTCGATTCTCTAATCTTGGAAATAGCCGATCTAAGGCGTTCCCACGCGGGTTGAAAGAGAGAATTGTAGGAGTCGGGCCAGCACCTTGTTTCCTGCACATTGCTTCATGATGGACTGGATTTCTGATCATTACGCTACCCTCCACCTTCCAAATCCTCCTTTTTTGTGAGCGTGCAAGAAAATGAGATGGACAGGAACTATTACGAAAGGAGAATCTCACTGGAACAACAAATCACTGTTGTTTAGTTGCCTCGCCTAATTGTTCATTTTTCGTCCCTGTAGTGAAATATGAAATACGAAAAATTTGAAGCAACTTTTCTAGTATTTTTTGTTGTTTCGAAATCTCGAAGCATTCACGAAAAGCAATTCATGGTACGAAATTTGCTAAGCAAGAATTCACTTACGATAAGTTGGGTAGTCAGGGGATCAAGCCTTTCACGAACTATTTTCAATATCAAATTGGCAAAGAAGTCTTGAATCATGTAACTGGTTTACATTCACAACTGTGCACTCACTCACTCACTTCAGACCAAACTATTCTCAATATTTTTTTTCCACTTTCTCTTTTTCGCTTTCTGTTTCGCTCTTTGAAGTCTAACCGGCACCTATTCATTTTCTCGTGTTAGAAAATCGCTTTTCTTTTAATACTTACGGTTAACAACTTCAATGAAACCAACACTGTCCAGTGGAATGGAAAGAAAACAACACAAAAAAGAATGATGCACGGCACAGAACTGCCTTCAAGTGATGCTAAAAGATCCACGACTGCAGACCATGCGTGGCTCGCGCATTGTTTTAATGGGTTAAGTACAACATTTTCAAGATTTTTCTTCTATGGTTATCTGTTCTAATAGATCATATTGGGTTCTACTTACAATTCTTGGAGTTTGTTTTTCTTCTTAGTGCCGTTGTCAGTTTTCCCATCTTATCGATCGCCCATAAACTGTCAAAAAACCAGTGAGAGCACTTAAAGAAACTATTAAATAGAGTCATTTCGAGACATTTTTGCTGCATAGAGCTGTTTTATTGGGAGCTTGTTCTAGTTATATCCCTCATATCCTTTGTACTCTTTGCATATCCAGCATCCGGTGTATCGTATTAATCACCAAGAAACACTCGAGGGGACCGGTAAGATTTCCATTCGTCCCTGTCGTATGCTAGAGCTGCCGATTGGCTTTGACCTACTCTAGTTACACAAAAAGAATCACAATTTTCAAATAACATGACTTATTTAATCGATAAACATTGGTTGGTCACTGAAAATTGTTAATTTTGCAGGCTCTACTGTGGTATAGGGTTACTTTTAACGAGAATATATGAGTGGAAATCTGAGCTGCCGCTGGCATTAGCCATTCTCTTACTTCCTTCTTCGGATAACTAGGAAGGAGCCATTCCAAATAAATTTGAAGATAACATCAGTTATTGTTTTCCTTGAATCTCTCGGCTTGTACCTGTTTGAAATAACTATTAAGAACCGTATGTATCAGTTCCCAAGATCTTTAAGGACTTTATATATATGTTTTTCTTCATATGTATATCGTCGTTTCCAAATTCATCATAACGCTGACATTTTTGGCAGGTCCCTAAGGAATCACTTTATTCTCGTCTGGGCTACACATCACTTCACTTCTATAGCTGACGTTCACTTTTATATAGCTGACGTCTGACATTCTCGGACATTCACTCCACTCAGTGTTCTATGTGTTTTATTCGTCTAATATTTGAAAATCTGGAAAGTTCCTCTTTAAAGCAAAAACGACATTATGAAAAGATTCATAGCGGAATCGTCAGTTCCTCCACCACCAAACATTCGCCCGATGTCATCATTGATTTGTGATTCAAGTGAGCCTTTAGAACTAATTATAAATTTATGACTGGTAAAATTTAGTTCAGATAATTTATTTAGAAGTATTTCTGTTCAGTTTTTGGTCTAAAGATGAATAAGAAGGTTTGCAAATTATGGAGAGTCTGTCGGTCTCAGCTCAATGTTTTTTATCTCCCACAAGTCTGGTACCAATTTGTCGACATCGGAGGGATTAAGAGGGCTTAGTTCACCCGGAGTGTGAGATGAATTCAAAGATTACATGTGTGCGGTAGTTTACCACCAACCAGTGTGCTACAAGCAAGCAAGCAGTACTACCAACTAGCAATAGTAAATAATAAATACGTACATCATGCATGAAATAATCAATATTTTGTGCAAAAATTTTTTCTAGAGATGAGCGAAAAGGATTCTACTCACTTTGAAATGGTCAAAACCTGCTTTTCTATCTGTAATTCTTCTTTTAATTACTTGAATGCTTGGATGGGCCATCTTCACTGGTTGTGCGGGGCCCACATAATTTCCACTTCTTCGGAGTCTTGCTAATTTAGCCATTACGGTCTCTAGAGTCCCGAGGTCAACCTCGCCAAAGTCTGCCCCAGATCGTCACCACCAGAGGCAGTCGCAGCCATGTGGATAGGAGGGAGATTTGCACTATGCGACTAATTTGATGCCAGGACGGTAGTGGATCGTGGTGTTGGTTTACTCTTAGCTAGGCTTCCTGATGGTAGTGCCCGACTCCTTCTCAGTTTGGAAGACCTTGTTAGGGTATGAATCCCTCGCTGAACGTCACAGCCCGACATCCAGAAACACCTCTCCGGCATGGTGAAGCGGTGAACCGTTGGGAGGAATTCTTTTTTTAATTAAACTAGATAATCCAGAATTATGGTTTTCCCTTGTAACTCATCAGGACACTCCACTCTTCTGTTTGTTCTTCTTTACTTATTTACTTATATATTTAATCTTTTACTAATCTTCAATACCGGTTGTGTCCAGTATTTTTTGTTTTACTATGAAATTACTAAAACTTCCTCGTTCGTTATAATACCACTAAATTTTTGTCGTTTGTTATAACAGTTGTTTACACTGTTGATTTATTGATCGAAAATAACATGCTTTTTTCTAGCAATATGTACATTTTTCTGTTAGTGTTTTAAGACTTTTTTTGGCAATGTAAGGGATTAAATATTTTTAAGCAAAATCAATTTGATATCATATTTTGCATGAAATAACCAATAAAAGGAACACAGGAAGGATGAACACAATTTTGTACTTCACAAAATGTAAGGCCATTTTCGATCTCCCGCGATCGATGCTGATCAGTACACGTTTTGAAGATGGTTCGGCGCCCAATCGATATTTTGACGACGTGCTCCCGATAGGGGAGAGTGAAGTACACGAAGCGCTACTTAGAGAGATGAAGCGACATCGCTATTGGAAGTCATCGGCTCTGAAGAAGATGCGTTTCGATCGACTTGAGATGATTAATTGCCTTCATGTGAGTTGTATGGGAATTGATTGATAAAGTAGAGAATTGAAACATCTAACAAATTTACGATTGTTTGTTGTGTTGGTAACTATTGTCAAGCAAAGCCCTTGACTAATCAGTAGAAATCGGCGAATGGTGAAACTTAAGGCGCTTATCAATTCATTATTGATATGCCATCTATTCAACACCCCTGAGTATCCAGTGGGAGGGGAGAGGAGGAATGGCGACTTGACCAGCATTCGACGACATTTAAGACGAATTCCTGAAGCAGCAGCCGAAACAACACGCGATATGTTCAAAGACCTCTGTGGATGATGAATGACATCCGCACAGTATATGTGATGACAGGTTTTGCAATAATAATAACAATAACAATGGGTCGTATGAAGTGCTGAGATATCTGCAAAACTCCGGACCACAGGTGTATGCAGTGGAGAACGAACACGCGCTGTTGTCCTTACCGGGGAGCAGCGCACTTCACCACTACACCATCCGGGTCCTTCGCCTTGCATGTAT